TGTGGCGAAAATGATAATAATCTAATATTCCTTAGCATATTTTATAGTTGGATAATAGATATTAGTAATGACAGTAATTTAGTTACTAAAAATAGAAAAAAAAGATACTCCTCCGGTTCTTAGTATATGACCTAATTCTTGAGTTGGTTTTGGTTATAAATATAAGATCCATTTATCATATTTGTCAATTTTTTCTAAATTACCCCTATAGATACTTCCTTAACCATAATCAAATAGAAGAGGGAGATGAGGTATTAAGAAAGGTGATTATGGTGTTTTATGAAAAATGTGTCATTTTTTATAATTAATTAACTTACCTAGCTTTCTTAATAAAATCAAATTAGTTAAATGTGTCTTATATTAAATACCAGAGGAGTACATTCGTTGCCTAGAATGATATGATTCGTGTTTTGAATCATACTGTATAGGAGAAGAAAAGTGAAATACATCCATAATGAAGGTTTTAATATTTTCCCCTCTAACTTATTGGATTGAGTTGGACATGTAATTAAATGATGATAGTTATAACAAATTACTGGATGAAACTTTAACTTATTCCATCATCTATTCATATTATTAGCTTTGTAAATATTACATCCGGTTCTAATTATAAGACCTCGTTTACTAAGACCGGAGATAGTATGTCACATAGATTTATATATTACCATTCATTTCGGATTATCTTAACTACATGATTTGTGTTTTGCTGTATCATGAGGGATCTTATTGGATAGAAATTATATTTGAACAGGCTGTAGGTAAGAACCCAGAAAGATCTCGAAGGTCAGTCAAAATTAATTAACTAACTTGTATTTCTATTTAGTTATTCTCATTATATACATTGTAAAATGTACATGACAATATAATGACTCCACATTTTCACTCGTGCGCTACTTACACACACACAGATCAAAGAAATCAACCACCGATTCTGAATCTCGTGCTCTAGCAAGAGCAAGGGAGATTAAAGCAAAATTATCCAAAGAGCATCCCAGTTTCATAAAGTCAATCGGGGAACGATCTTGTGTGGTAAGTTCCTTTTTAGCACGAAACCTAGTCATTGTTTTAAGAGTTTGTGGTTAATCACAGGTTCATTAGTAAAAAAAAAAATGACGAATAGATATTTTCTACAGTTAAATATGGTTTGTTTTTCTAGGGGCAGGGTCTTCCTAAACGTTTCTGTGAGGTGCATTTGCCTAAGGCTGATACTATGATTGTTTTGGAAGATGAGAGTGGAGGAGAATACCAAACAAAATATGTTGCTGAAAAGAGGTTCTTAGGTAGTGGATGGAAAGGGTTTTGCTCGGATCACAACTTAGTTAAGGGGGATGCTTTAGTTTTCCATTTAATCCAACCATCCAGGTTCAAGGTAATAGCTTGCTAGTTTCATCATTATGAGAAAATTAATGAGCGACGATAATATGTTATGCTGCTTTGTTGCTAGAGTAGCAGTCAAGTTGGTAATCATAAGTATCCTTTTATGTCCAAAGGTGTACACAAGTGTAAAATCTCATGGGTCAAACGAAATGGATGGTGCTCTTGGCCTTCTACGTCTAGATGGATCGAGACAACAAGATTCAGGTACGTACGTTCTCTGTGATTCTCATTTCTTTGTTTACTTTGATGTTCCAATTTCTAATTGCTTTTTGCGATCCATCCTTTTAGATGTCGTCCCTCAAGAAAATAGTCCAGGCACTAGCAATACATGTGACGCTAACGTAGCACCGCCAGATCAACCTGAAAATACAGGTGATCAAGAAGAAAACTCTGGGCTTCAAGTCGTGAACAGGAATAGATTGATGAGATCCACGACCACATTTGAAGAAGTCACAAACATCGATAATTTCAACATTGTTGTCAATGGCTTAATACTTGATTCCCAACTATCGCAACACATCAAGATCAAGTACTATGAACTCTGTTGCAGCCAACAAATGTTTCTTCACGAGCATCTTCTTGAAGGGCAAAATTGTCAGTTAGTAGTTGGAATGATATGTGAGACTGTTAATGTTGCTGAAGCCATTAAAGCGAGCAAGCTCACAACTCCTTCAGATAGTTTCCACATGTGGCATAGAAAGTTGAAAGGGCTGGAGATGTGGGGCATGAATGTTAGTTTCTTGCTTGTTAGGTTAGAACGACTCGTGCATTTAGCTTCAAAAACTGAGGAGTACAAAGAGGTGAGAAATCGTCGAGAACGAGCTGAAGAGGAAAAGAAACATATTGAACTAAAGCTTGAGGGCCTAAAGGAGATTATAAGAAGACTTGATGGGGAAATGGACTCGCTAAATCAGAACTTTAACATGTTGGAAGTTGAGTTTCAAAGACTGACTAATGCACCATGGTGATATAGTACATTGATGCCTCCTTTATGATGTGTTCGTAAATTTGTTTCTTCTCATATAGCAAAAAATCCTGTGTCCATTTGTTTATGTTCACGTGACTATAATGTCACATATATATACAGATATGAAAGTATTTAAATCTGTCTATTGGAAAAGGTTGACCTTCTATAGGTTTAGAATCCATAAAAAATGTCGGGGAGAAGTAGTCTTATGAAGTTGCTCTATATTTCATGTAAAGCTCTAGAGCTACTTACTAGCAAAAACTTAAAGTTGTCATACATTTTTTTCCTTGATTATGACATTATTGATAGTTCTTTTTTTAGTCTATGCCAATTAGCTGGTTTGTCAAACATTTTTGTCTTCATCCTAATTAGTTCGTCCTTTTGATATAATTTGTGATAAGCTTTTGATAATGTAAATTTTGATTCAATATTTGAGTTTTAGGCACGTTCTATTTGAAAAAAACATAAAAATAATATGAGACCGAATTGATTGCTCTTTTATAGAGTTTCTATTGATACCCTTAATTGTCTCAATTTTTGCAGAATTTTTGCAGAATATATATTCTATATGTGAGATAACAAGCACAAATAAAGATAGGGTCCTGTTCTTACACTTATCTTTGGCAGTTTGATATTCATGGCTTAAAAGAGTTTGGGATCAGAGCAGAAACTAAACTCACTTTAATTGAAAAGCCAAGTTTTCTATGATCTTACCTTGAGAAGTTTGTGAAACATGGAAACTTCAATTGGTTCATGAAGTGGTAGCGAAACTTTCGTTCGTAAGAAAGAACAATAACTGGCCTCCATCGATCAGGAATGGATATTTGTGAAAAACTCAAAAACGAAAAATATGAACGAATAAATAAAAAGGGTAAGAGCAGAGTTGCGGGTAATATGAAAAAGAATGCCCCCATGCAGGATCGAACTACAGACCTTCAGTTTACAAGACTGACGCTCTACCACTGAGCTATAGGGGCTGTTCATGGAATGCCGTGGACAAAAATCACTATAATAGCAACAAATATGTTTTTTTGAGTAATTATCTCAACATTCACTGTTTCCTTCTCTCTCCCTCGCATCGTACATGGCATCAAGTATCCACAATGATCATGACTTCTATTTTTGTCTCCACAAGGTCTTCTTGATCACCACCCCTACCTTCGTACTTGTTTGCCATCACATCCCTCACATTTTCCCTCTCGCAGCGACCGACACGCTTTTACTGGCCAAAAAACCGACGAGACAAATGAAAAGAATTTTTGTGACTTGTGAGACAAAAAATGCCGGGGAAAAAACAGAAAATTCACCCAAAATATAGATGCGAGTCATATAAAAATTTATTGATAGAAATGGTCTAAATCAAAATACTAGTGTATAGAAATTTATTTATTTTTACTGATAAAATATTTCTCAATTTTCGAAAAATAACATAATGAGCTTGACTCGTTGGGAGGATTGATGGACGGAGGTCCGATTAGCCACGTCGGATTTCCTTTTCCAAAAAGCAATCCACATGACGGAGAGTCCAATCCAACTTGCAAGAATAAATGGGACGCTCCTAGTGCGATTCCCATCTCCTTCTTTGCTTATCCCCCCCTCCTTTTTTGTATATTTATTCTCTGCCTTAATTTATAAGTAACTGTATATACGCATGATCAGAAGGTAATTATATATTCACTAGAAAAAAAGTTACATATAATAAGACTCCGAACTAATTTATTTAATTTATAAGTTAATACGACATAATAAGAGTATTTAGCAGGTATGTTAATTTTATTATAATCAAGTAATTCATTTATTTTATTTTATTTATTTAAATTTGTTAAATAGCGATAAGTATATATTTTGAGAGAGACAATCTCCCAACATCTTATGGTAGGAGGTGGATTATGTGTATTTGTTTTTAATAAAAATTTTATTTTATTTTATTTAAATCTTAAAAGTTTTAATCTGTGAAATTATGCGTTTTATTTTCAAGTAGTCAGACAATTTATTAATTTTATGTTTAATGACAATACAGATTGATACTAATTTATTTTATGTATGATATGCTATTGATTAGTCATAGCTATCATATATCTTTTTTTTTTTTTAGTTCATTTTATAAATATCATCACTTTTTATTTGTGGCTGGTCCCTGAGTTTTAATTTTAATTTCTGCACTCACCTATCATTTTGGGTCATTTTATACTCTCTTTTTTTTTGGCCTGAATGGGTCATTTTATACTTAAATCTTTATTTTGTTTCATTCAGGCGAAAATTATAAAATGTAGCCGTTATAAAAATCCGGTACAATCCAATCCCCAAAAAGGGTCCAATTTGTTGAAAAATTGATTATAAATCAATTAATATAAATATTAATAATTATTAATACTATGATTAGTACTGATTCAAACACCAAACTAAATAGATAGTGATTTGATATGCTAGATAGTACGTTTACAAAACTCTTAACAGAAAAAAGGAGAGAGAAAAAGGCTCAAGTATCCAACAAATTCGTCGCTGTTCGTAGATTGTAGTTATAGGTATAGATAATAATGTGTTTAAGTTGCCAAAAATTTCCAGTACTGAATTTTAATACAAGAGACTAGGAGGTTAATTAAAGGTTGGGGAAGAGGAGGATGATTCTGTTACGGAAACACAAAAGACCAAAAATTCTTGGAACATTAAAATTAGAACAAAAGTCGTAATCTTTCCATTCTTATAATCATCTGGCGGCTGCATCCTCCGTTGTTGTGTTGTGTTTTATTCTCAACATTCACAGCCTCCCTGCGTTGCTTTCCATCGTTAGATGGAGCTTTATCGCCCATCCTGGAAAGCAACACCTGCGACAACAACATCAATAACAATTCAAGCTCCAATTTTGCAGTTGCAATCGGTCGAGATAAACTCCAAACCCTAAGACACAAAATTTCCCGAAATTGTGGTTTCAGCCGCCATTATCATTGCAACCATGTTTCCATGGAATATTGCGAAGTCAGCGGAGGCGATGTTCTCCCGCTGGGCGACGAAGAGGCTTTGCAAGTTCTTGCTGAAGAAGAAATTGGGGCAGTTTATTTTGGGGGATATCGACCTGGACCAGCTGGACGTGCAACTCACTCGAGGAACAATTCAGCTCAGCGATCTTGCGCTTAATGTGGATTACATTAATAAGAAGGTATTCCTTGTTTTCCCAGTTCTTAAGGCGCGCATATAGGAAGTTGAGAATATATTATAGTTCAGTTGCATTAATTCGCATGATATACTAATTTTCCTGGGCAGTTAGAATGAACTGCAGTACCTGTCTGGATTTCATTCCCTCGGTGTTAGGTAATCGGATGCTAAACTGAGGTTGCTGAACAGTTTTGATTGTCTATGGACGTAGGTTTCCTAAGTGGTATGTGATGCGATAATAAATTGTTCAGGTCAGATGGCGGGAAAATTATGAAGTTGGTATTTTTCACAAGTGTCAGAATTAGAAAGTGGTTTATATGCATGAATTAAATTTCACAACGATAAAGCGTGTGAAATAGGAATAGCTGCAGTTCTTTGGATGATCCTGATCTTATATAAAGCAGCTCCGTGATTATTTTTTGGCTGTTGTTGTTAAATAGCATCAGTAACATTTTATTCATTAACTTATTGCTTTCTTCTGCTTGCTTTTTGCAGTTGAGCAAGGCGGCATCTTTAATTGTCAAAGAAGGGTCAATTGGATACCTATTGATTCAACTGCCTTGGAGCGGTAAAGGTTGTCAGGTTGAATTGAATGGGCTTGAACTAGTAGTTTCTCCTTCCACCGATGATATTCCAATGGATGATGAAACGTGTGTTGTGGGCAATAATGATAATGGCCGTCTCCAACATGGCTCAACTAGTAATGACCAAGAATCATCTTTGATGGATGTTCATGAAGGTGTTAAAACTATTGCAAAGATGGTAAAGGTGTTGCTTACAAGCTTCAATGTGAAAATAGAAAATGCAATTGTTGCTTACGATCCATCTTTAGATGAGGGTGACAAGAAAACAGATTGCCATAGGACCCTTGTTCTTCGCATTTCTGAAATAGAGTGTGGAACATGTTTGTCAGAAGATGCTGATTCAAATGCTGATGTGCTGGGAATAAGCTGGTTAACAAATTTTGTGAGGTTTCAAGGAGCTACGTTTGAGCTTCTTAAAATAGATGAGGATGATACTTGTGCATCTTCTTCATGTGAATTAGGAGCAGGATGTGGAGAACCTGTTTTGGGGTCAACAAAAGCAGCGTGTCCAGTCATGACTGGGAAAAAAGAAGGATTTGGTGGAGAGGTGAAGATAAGTATTCCTTGGAAGAGTGGGTGTTTAGACATTCAAAGAGTGGATGCAGTTGTTTCTGTTGATCCTCTAGTGTTAACACTTCAACTTAGCACCATTAAATGGCTCTTACGTGCTTGGGAAAGTTATAATAATCTGGAAAAAAATGGACAAGTTTGTACCAATCACAACTCAAAGGGATATGCGCAGCTAAAATCTACTACGTTGTGCAGTTCATCAAATTCAGTCTCTGTTAGCAGTGCTGATTATCACAGTTTTCTGGATGATTCCTCTAATTTGACCTCACTTGAACCCCATACTGAATCATTGGTTCCTGAGTCTCGTCTTATATCAAATTGGGTACCACGGTCTGCTGATATAAATAATAAAGATGGTATTCAAGAACTTGATTTTGGGGCCAGGTATGCTCTTTTCCTGTATGCTTTCATCTAGATGCAATCACTTGAAATTCCTGTATAATTTTCTGTCAGCTGGATCCTCGTTAATGTGTGAGCATAGTCAAGTTTAGTGCTTGCTGATAAAACTTTCGTTATGGTTATATTCTGGTGTCTAAGTTATTGTGGCTAATTTATTTACATGCATGAGAACTGAGTTAAGTCTGCACATTTAGCACTCTGATAGGCCATTTTTAGATTTTTGATGACACTTTTATAATCTGTTTAGTCGATACTGGTAACCCTGTTGTTCTATTGGGATTCCTGCAGTGTGGACCAATTTTTTGAATGTCTTGATGGAATGAGGAACTCCCAATCAGCTTTAGGGAGCAGTGGAATGTGGAACTGGACATGTTCTGTGTTTAGCGCTATTAGTGCTGCATCCACCCTTGCTTCTGGATCCTTGCATGCTGCTCCTGGTACTTCTCTTCATTTTGTTAATAAAGCATTCTAAGTTCTTTAACATCGTGTTCTGTTATTATTATCTACTCGCAGTGATGCTTATGAGACCATTTTAACCAAATAACATAGATGAAGAACATGGTGTTCATGCTTTTATAAAAAATTGTCAATATTCCGAAATTGCCCTTCATTATTGTTTAAAACCTCTATCCCAAAATCAATTTTTCTTCTTCCAAGTAAGAGAAAGAGGATTATAATTATGAAGGCCATATTTGAAAATAATTAATAAATGCTTCGTACATTTTGTAAAGGCTTCTAGGTTAAGGACTATAAAAAGATTCTAGAGGGATATTATAATAGGACTGAAGGTAGTATTAAATTTATAATTTACCATCAATTTTGCTTATTGCATTTTTTGTCTCAATGGATGCGAATATTTTCAAAATGTAAAAATTTTCCTATTATTGACAAAGTTTTGGATATGAACCTTGGTTCATGCATGAACAGAAAAGCAACATGAGGAAACCAATCTCAGAGCAACTTTTGCTGGAATATCTGTTGTATTGTCTTTTGGTGATGAAGACCAACAACACTGTTATGGGCCGAACACTGATGATGTTGTGGGGCTGCATATTGATTATCTTGTTGCAGACTGCAATGAAATTCTTCTTTCTCTGCAGGTAATAATATAGCTGAGTTGCTCTTTTCTCTATCCCACACCAACATCTGCTTGTCTTAGGCTTTCTTGGCTTGTGAGACCTGGTTCTCTGCTATTTGATTTTGAACAGGCCCCCCCTCTAACTTGAAATGTTGTGTATTTTAACAGGTATGCCCCCAAGTTACAGTTGTTGAGGGAATGATGAAAAATATGGAAGTTGCGACTGTTTTGAATTCTGGAATTGATACTATAGATTCTGGTTCGCATGAATATAATAATGCTAAGAATCAAAATGCTCTGGTTCAACATCTGCAAGCTGAAGTCCTTGGTGCTCTGCCATCATCTGTTTCTTGTGATCTAGGTCCTGATTCTGATTCTTTATTTGGATTAGTTGCCGCAGACTTTCCACTGGGAAATAATGATAGCTTATTCAAAGTGACATTGTTTGAAACTTCTGGTGTCACCAATTGTAAATTCACTTCGCAATCAAGTTCTGATGGAAATCTAACTGGGCCTGTATCATTTTCTTTGAGCCTGCCACCATTTAATTTCTGGGTAATATTTTCTGTCATAAGTGTGTTCACTAACCTACTTAAGAATGTTGAAAAATCAGTGGAAGTGCTCAATAAAGCAAACAAAGACATATATAAGGCCTCAGATAAGAAGGACTCAGCAACAGAACGTTTGAGTGGTGATATATCAATTTCTAGTGCAAGAGTAATACTGTGTTTTGCTTCAGAAAGAGGTGGAGATCATGCATGTTTCTTTTCTAGGGAACAGTTTATTGCTCTCGATTTTACTTCACCATCACCTTTGAAGAAGAGTTTCACTGAAGATTATATTCCAATGTCAAATGCTAGCTCAAAGAGAAGATTTCCTTCAGCAGATGTAAAATCTCTGCAATTGAGTTTCAGTGATTTATGCATTTACTTGATTACGTCAACAAATAATGATTATGGTAGAATCAGTTCCTGCACTTTGGAGAATGAAAAGTTTTCTGCTAGTTGCCTTCTGTCCGTTGACAGCCGATCCAGTCATTACTCTGTTATTAATGTGGTTTGGCAGGAGGGTCTGGTGACTGGTCCTTGGGTGACAAAGCAAGCCAGGTTGTTAGCAAATTCTGATCAATTCAGGAGTAGAAATGATTTTGTTGGAAAAGGCTATGAGTTTGCAGCTGCATCAACAGTCAAAGACCTGGAAGAATTGAAATCTCAAACTCAACAAGAGATGATTCTAAGTTCATCATTTTTCATTCATGTTCATCTACATCAAGTTATGGTCAGCCTGAGTGATTCTCAATATAAAGATGTGCATTGCCTTGTACATCAGATGCTAAATGAATTGGAACGTGTGGCTTCTCAGTCGGTCACTGATGAGAAAGAGTCTTTTCCTTCACAATCATCAGTATCTGTGGAATGTGATTCTTTAGGAATTGTTATTAGCAGGGATACATCTGAGAGTGTTAGGTGCTCATTGCAAAGTGAACTTCCAGGATTATGGCATCAATTGAAACTGAAAGTTCAAAACTTTGATTTGCTGTCTGTTACAAATACTGGCGGTGTTGGGGGTGCTGAATTTTTCAGAGTAACTCATGGTGAGGGCAAGCTGTGGGGTGCCATAAGCAGTGCTCCTGATCATGAGTTCCTTCTAATTACCTGCGACGACTCATCAATGAAACGAGGTGATGGGGGAGGCTCGAATCCATTGTCTTCTAGACATGCTGGTTCTGATATAATACATCTGTCAGACCCAGAGATTTCCCATGTTTCTACATCTATAACTGTCACATGTAGTACAGTTGTTGCTGTGGGTGGACGCTTGGACTGGTTGAATGCAATATCATCCTTTTTCAGTTTTCCCTCTTCTGACGCCCAAGAAGCAGGGAGCAATACCGTGCTAGATGAAGATGCCAAAGGATATTGCAGGACTGACTTTGTACTCAACTTGATCGATATTGCATTGAGCTATGAGCCCTATGTGATGAATTCAGTGGTTCAAAGTGAAGTCAAAGAGTCTGAGTCTGGCTTCTATTCCAATCAGGATACTGGTAAACAATATGCTTCTTGTCTATTAGCTGCATCCTTGTTGACGCTGTCAACTACAGCTTTGGCCGATTCAGTTGAGAATTCTTATCTAATCACAGTTCAAGACCTGGGGCTTCATGTGGCGTCAGGGACAAATACTCCTTGTAGCACTTATAGCTTTGAGCGTCTTCAAAAGGTTGGTTTCATTAAAGTCGCTCGTGAAGCATTTATGGAGGCTAATTTTAAAACCAACTGTACTAGTGGCACTTTCTGGGTGGTGGAATTGTCTAATTCTCACATCTATGTGGATACTTGCCATGATACAACTGCTAGCTTGATTCGTTTGGGTACTCAACTTCAACAATTATTTGCCCCTGATGTGGAGGAATCCATTGTGCATTTGCAAAATAGGTGGGAAAATGTTCAACAGGCCAAGCTGAGAAATGACTTTAATTATGAAACTAATAACCCCACCTTTGATGCCCTGGCTACAACTTCTCAGCAATGCCCTTCCAAATCATTTTTGGAGGATGGATCTAGAATGGCGGGCTTAATGGATGAGATTTGTGATGATGCATTTCAAGTGCATGACTATAATACATGGCGGCCTCCTTCTTCTGGAGCAGGAATTCACATGCCGCTTGATGGTATCTTTATTGATGATATGAGTAAGAGGCGTATGGAGGAGCCTGAGGTTCTCTCTCATAAAGGATCTTTGTCTGAGTCAATGCCTGTAATGGGAGCAGAAGGTAATGATGCTTTGTTTTTGGAGGAGGGTTTGTGTCCAGAGATTATAGAAGAATATTGTCTCTCTGACTTATTAATATCCATGGGCGTACATTCTGAGGGAGTACATAGATACAAGCAGAGCAATGTGGAAGGTAGAGAGATTGAAAGAGGAAGTGGTGGTTGGTACCAGGGCAACTCTCTGAAAGTTGTAGAAAACCACATTTCAGGGAAAGATGAACAAACTGAGCTAAAACATTCCGCAGTTGGGAAACTCCCACCTAATGATGATTCCTTGCAAAATAAGGCCTGCGGACGTGTGATTCTGAAGAAAATTGATCTAAGGTGGAGAATATATGGTGGTTCTGACTGGCCTATGGAGAATGAACAGTATTCTGGGAGGGATACAACCGTCTGCTTGGAATTTGCATTGTCCGGAATGAAATTTCAGTATGATATATTTCCAGTTGGTGGAATAACTATATCCAAGATGTCCGTGTCTGTTCAGGATTTTAATCTGTATGACGGAAGCAGAGATGCACCATGGAAATTGGTAGGAGTGAAAACATAAATGCTCTGAAATATCTCTCTTTTTTATTTAGTCTTTTTTCGCGTGCAATGACACATTTTTTGTGATTTTCTACTTTTTGAATTGAAGGTGCTAGGATATTATCATTCAAAAGGCCACCCTCGAGAATCTTCCTCAAAAGCACTTAGATTGGACTTGGAGGCAGTCAGACCAGACCCCCTAACTCCACTTGAGGAGTATAGGTACGGTGTTTAATATTCACGCGATCTGTTTTGGATGGCATGTGATAATTTATATCACTAAACCTTGGAAGTTGCATCAACTCCCCTATGGAGTCGTAGAATTGGGGATCTTTTGGGTATGTGTCCCATCATGACATTGACATGGGAGATTCTAAACCTCATTCAATAAAACTTTGCAGAAAGCTGACAGAGAGTCGATAATGAGATTTGTTTGTTTTTAATGATCATTTGGTCTTGTCTAGTGTTCAACGATCTAATTATTCTTTTTCCAAAACAGACGCTAATATCTGACTTACGAGTCAGGTTTATGGAGGGAATTAGGTCTTTGACTTCTTTATCATTGAAATGTTTGAGATGAAAATCAAAGGGCATCCTCCAAGAATTGTACGCTAAAAGTATGACTATTGTTCAAATAAGACAAGAAAAGAAAATTAACAGATATTAGTGCATACCAAATGAGTGGCCCTCACATAAAATATAACCCAATAGTTGGTCTTTGTAATTCATTTCCTGTTGATCTTTTTAAAATTTTCAGAAGTCCTTTCTTCCCATTTTTGCTTGGAAATCCTTATAACTTGTTGAACTTCACTAGTCGTGCCATGGCAATTTGGAGACCCTTGTTCATTGGTTCTACATTGAAACACGTTCCAAAAATTCGATGCGTGGTACAAGCTCACGCTTGTCATAATATGGGCTTCGTTCCCTGTTTCTCTGCTAAGCTCTCTTTTCTTGTCCATGAATTTCTCATCGAGCTTGGTCAATTTGAAAGTGAATTTATCACGGAAAATTTTCCTCCACTTAAGTTTATAAGCTTGTGTTTATTCATTAGTGACCACCCAAACTAACTGTCCATTTAATCTTGTGGGAAGCATAATGCACAGAAGCATGTCTTGAAATTTTAGCAGCTGCCAGGTTCTGCTTTATAATTATTCCGACTTGTATACATGAGGCATTGTAAGAGGCTGTCTTGTGTCGAGCACAACTGATTTTTAAGTCCTTTTCCATTACGGTCCGTGATTTTTCTTAAACAGAAATTTAATGTGTTATCTATGTATTTCCTTTCTCCTATATCAAGACACCATTGTCCGTCAATCATAGGTCTATTGTTGCACGTTAAGGGGATCCACTAATGCTCAATCATGTCAAAAGTTTCATATTTCTTATCTTCAACAATCTGGACGTATTTGTTTTATTTGGATATAAAGGATCTGTTTAGAAATTTTAGAAATAATTAATACTTAGCTTGATTCTACCTGGTGGCAGGCTTTATTCATCTAAATATTTATGAACTCATGAAGGAACTATTATGCATTAAGATCTTCAAACAGCAATTAAGTGTCTTTATATTTCTCTCTTTTCAGGTTACATCTTGCCTTCCTTCCTATAAAATTGCATCTACATCAATCCCAGCTTGACTTTCTTATTGAGTTTTTTGGGAGTAAAAGCTCATCATCTGATCAGTCTCCTGATCATCCTCAAAATGTGGAGGGTTCAATATTTTTGCCAGAAAGGAGGAAAAATCTTGAGGCATTGCTTCCTTACTTCCAGGCAAGTAGCATTCTGTTTTCCGTCTCTATTAACCTGTAATTTCTTGAATTTCTTTATTTCCCTCCTTTTTAATCATGTGCAGTATTGATTTGTAAAGAAGTGAAAAAATCCCAGTGTATGTGTTTTTACAACAAACTTTAGAAAGGCTCATCCCTACTTAATTCATTATATTGCTCTTATCAATGTTCTTAACTTATTAATCCATTTTATGGGGAGTGACCTGTTTGAGAAGATTTATGATATAGTCAGCCCCTAACTCGACTTTGATTTTATGGAATGTTTGGACAGTCTGCTCAGTATTTGTTCTAACCTATCTTAAAAAACATATTTATATGTTGCTTTTGGTTACAGAACATTGACATACGGCCTATCCTTTTTCGGGTGGACTACAGTCCCCATCATGTAGATCTAGCTGCACTGAGACGTGGAAAGTATGTGGAACTCGTAAATCTTGTTCCCTGGAAGGTAATATTTGTTCTTTATGTCCTGTTTCCATCAGTAGTATGGCTTCCCTTGTTTTTATTTCATTTACTACCTAATTTGCCACCTGATAGATTTGGCTTGTGGATAATGGAGCTTCAATTATTGCCTCATCATAGGTTTCCCTATTGGAAATATCTGATAATATGTTTACTAAATTTGCCCAGGGTGTTGAGCTAAATCTGAAGCATGTTCATGCAGCTGGCATCTATGGTTGGGGCAGTGTTTGTGAAACAATTATTGGAGAATGGTTGGAAGATATATCTCATAATCAGGTTTAGTGACAAATTATTTTCCTTGGAACTGAGGTTCTGACTATTCTTTTCTCTTGATTAATAGTTTTTATGTCATATTTCAATCTGTAGATTCATAAAATACTGCGGCGCCTTCCTGCTGTACGGTCATTATTTGCAATAGGTGATGGTGCTGCTAAGCTGGTGTCATCCCCACTAGAGAACTACAGGAAGGATCGGAGGGTGCTTAAGGGTATGCAGAGAGGTATGTTAGATAACACTGCCTTTGTAATTGACCTATATAATTTGGCTTCTTTTTGGGAAGAAAAAATAGGAATCACAAATAACAGTAGGTTTTTATCACTTATAGTTCACTTATAGTTTTATTTATTGGTTTCTTAAAATATTTTTTGAGCGGAACGATCTGTCGGTAGAGCCAGCAATTTTGAAAGCCAATATTCATTATGTACCCATTTAATTGTTGTGGCAGTTGATAACCTTCATTTACCTGGATTCATTTAGTTCAATCCATTCAACAAAATACATTTTTATATATGATTTACTGTAAGTGGCAACCTTTCTAAGCTACAGTAAGGTCTTAATGGCTATTAATTTTATATTTGGATTTTTTTTTTGGGGGTCAAATTTTGTATTTGAAAGTTTAATATTTACATTTATATAAGTCTGTTGCTTGAGGGTGAAACCTCCATTTAAGGAAATTATTCTAGCTTCATTACTGTGTCTGAAAGTGTGCTTTGGGGAAGGGAATTGTAGACCCCCTTTTGGCTGGGGAAAACAATCTGGTTTTACTAGTCTATTTGTATTGCGTCTATATTTGCAAGAATTGGATTATTCCATTTCTTCTGCCCTTTTTCCTTTAAAAACATCTATGTTAATTTTTAACTTGTGTTTTCTGGCTCCATTAATGATTGTCTTCTATTTTTCTTGTTAATTGTCATCATAGTAGTCAATCTGCTTTGTAGGTACAATTGCATTTCTTAGAAGCATTTCTCTTGAAGCTGTTGGACTTGGAGTACATTTAGCTGCCGGAGCCCATGACATTCTGCTCCAAGCAGAATATATTCTTGGAAGCGTACCTGCTTCTGTAACATCTCCGTTAACAGATAAACTACATGTTCGATCAAATCAGCCTCAAGATGCCCACCATGGTATCAAACAGGTGAAGTTTCAAACAAGTTGATACCTATACTTCCTTTTTACACAGATTGATGTCTTGCTTATCCTAATTCCTGCATTTCTTAAACGAAAAAGCAGAAGAAAAAAAATGTCGGCTATATAACAAAATTAATAAGGGGCCCTCACCTTTTCCTTACCCTCTGCCTTTTGTTGTCTACTTCTTCTTCTTCAGATAGTATTTATTTGAGCAAATGAGGTTTTTGACTAAGCTTTCGTAAAAGAAGCTACTTCTGAGGAGGAAGCAAATATTGGAATTTCTCTTATGCAAAACAGAAATTTTTTTGTAAAGACAGAAGTACCTCTAATCAAAAGCAGTGATTTCCATTGTTATATCTGATATTTTTACCTAATTTCGGTCATGCATGTGTTTTTCTACTTAGAAAATAAAAGGCAGTTATTTATTTCGCAGGCTTATGAGAGCCTTAGTGATGGCCTGGGAAAATCTGCTGCTGTGCTAGTCCAGAGGCCCCTGAAAAAATATCAACGTGGCTCAGGTGCGGGGCCTGCACTGGCAGCTGCTTTTCGAGCTGTTCCTGCAGCTGCCATAGCTCCTGCTTCTGCTTGTGCAAGTGCTGTCCATTGTGCTCTTCTTGGCATCAGAAATAGGTCGGATAACATTGCCTTGATTTGAAGTAATTCTTGTTTTAGATTTCCATTGAAGCAATTCCTAGATAATTTGAAGTTTATTTACACACAATTTTTTTCCAGTCTTGATCCTGAACGTAAAAAGGAGTCCATGGAGAAATATTGTCCAACACAACCCTGGGAAGAAGGCTAATTAGAGGTGCCATTAGCTACAGATGATTTTGTCTTCGTAAAGCATTCATACAATTATGGAATGAGATATTTCTTGGTTCCATGCCCAGAATATCATGTCAGGATTGACTGATTGATACTTTTGCTTCACTGGCCGACTGTGAGGAGATCCAAAGGGCTCTCCATGAAGTGATGGGTCATGTATCATGTGAGTTGGGCCTCTTCTCTAGCTATCATTGTATAGTAAATCATATGATGGGATGATTTATTTATCAGAAGGAATAAACGACTGCATCAATAATTTCATTCGGAAGAGCAACAAATTAATGGATCATTAGTTGTGAATGTCCACACCAGATAATAGTAGGAATAGTTACAATCAAGCTAATAATCATCTCTTATCATTCTCATCGTGAACAATTTGAGCATGTATGTGATGTCTTGGTGATAATCGCTGTAGCACTGTTTTATGGAGATAGTACTTTGAGTTTGAGATAGCTGACGTCTAAAGTTTCATTAGATCTTTCTCAAGGTATATTAATTGAATTATTCTGAACATTTTGATTGGCTGCAGATGTACAGCAGCGGGACCATTAAGCGCATTCTTTTGTCAGAGGAATTGTATATGCTGTAAATAATGGAGTATGGAGAGTGCTTTTATTCGCACTGAATGGGGATATCTTCTTGGTTATAGGGCTTCCGTTTGCAATTTAGCCTAACTAGTTGTGTACATAGTATCATTCATTTAATGTTAAGCTATCATTGTATATTGCCGTTATTTTTTAGCTGTAAATAATACACGCTTATTAATATGCTTCCAATTATTCAATTTTAGAACAGTGATTGAGCATTTGGACTACTGATAATCATTTTTTCCTTGTGACGAAGTTGGCAAGTATATTGTTGATAACTATGCGGAAAACTGCTTATTATTGATTTTTATGCCATTGGTAATTCCGACCAACAAATCATAATTTTGTAGAACATTTTTATTTTTCACCAAAATGCATACATATAGCTGTTGAGACCCGCCTATAATGGCAGGCTTCGCCATGAGATGCCTTAAGAATTCTCGCGTCATAGAAAATTAATGCTCCTTTTTTTTTTTATAAAAAAAAAAGGGCTGTTATATTATACTATTTCAAAATGGATATTTGCTGATAGACGTTTATACTATTTCAAAATGGATATTTGCTGATAGACGTTTATACTATTTCAAAATAGATATTTGCTGATAGATGTTATGTCTCTGGTAAAACAATTTGGGTGAATGTTTGTTACTTGATGTTAATCTTGAAGACGATCGTCCCTAATCTGTTGGTTACATTTGGTACGGAGTATTGAAAATAAAGGATAAGGATTGGGATTGAGGTTAAAAATATATGTTAAAAGATGCTTAGCATGAGTAATTTTTTTATCACATATAGATAGGATTGGAGAATACTATCTCTCTTCATGATATTCCTCAATCCCACATATATGAATTTATCTGATCCCAAGTATAATATAATTACTCATACTGAATATTTTTTTAATATAGTTTTACACTTTCAATGTCAATCCCTATCCCTCATTTTTAATGCTTCGTATCAAACGGGACCTGAAGGTCTTAGAAAGCATGATAAGTTCATTAGCATGGAAAATTCTGTACCACACCATCATATTCAGTTAAACAAATTCTTCTGCTAGAACAAGGAAATATTCTTATTAATTGAAACAGTCACCAAAAACATACCAGTCTTCCAAAAGCAAGCGCAACAACAAAGTAGGAACGAGAAACAAACCAGAAAGTATCACAGCATATTTTACAGCTTCCTCCATGGCCAAGGCTTCAACTTAAAGTACTGAGCTTGATTTTGATACTAGGCGAGATAGAAACTGGTTCTCGGCTCAAATTATTCTTAAACCAGCCATTTGCCTCCCAGAATTCATCAGCTTGTTTAAAAATAAAAATGGAATCCGATGGCTTCTTTTTAAGTTTTTCTCTACCCACCTAATGAATTTTCTTCTTTCCTCCTTTGCTCTCTCCCACCAGAATTCAGAAATCAGTTTAAAGGAATTGCATTAGCTGCAGCTTTGATCAATACCTCTTCCTGCTTCAGATAAGAAGTTTTTCTGCCATCCCAGAACTCTTCTACTAACACTGTCCACAACAAAATTTAAGGCTTGTGATTTCGATCTTCCCCATAAATTACGAAAGGAACCCTTGACAAACTTACAAGTTGACGTTATTCCATGAATTAGTTCCAGCAAATTGGGAATTCTTCTTCCATCTTATCTAACAGTTCAACATGACATTATGGTATAGGGATAAGGGCATTTGATGGGGAATGACACCTTCTTAGTGTGATTTTTAAAAAAAAAATCTAATAATTATGAAGAATTGAAAATTCTTTAAAAATCTGAATTTCCAACGCTTACGCGTGAAATTTGAACAATTTTTGTGGCAATTTATTTTTGTCAAGTCATATAAATTCTCTTAGTTTTTTTGGGTGCAATTCTTTTAAATTTTGACCGATGTGCAAATAAACTTTAAGCTTTACAATTTGATAAAAAAGCCTTATTTAAACTTTTAAGTCTGTGCAAATAATTATTTGGTCGTCATAAATTATTTTGTTATTTCACTAATAAAACGTAATACGTTATTGATCATATGCCTCCCTTTTTTGGTACAGATAATCCTATAAACTTGTAGTTATATGCAGATGATCTTTTCTTAATTTTGATATGTGCAAAAATATATGTAAAATCCTCTCGCTCGCTCTTCACATCTCCTCATTCAAGTACGGAGGAGGTCTGAATTGGTTCCTTCTATTTCTTATCATGTTTTTCCCTGACATTGAAAGACTGATAATCTAATAATACTCAGCATTTACTTAAACATTTTTAAAAGAATCTGATACAAAAACTTAGTCCCTGCAGACATGAATTTCTTTTAACAGAAAATTAAAGGAAGAAAATAGACAACTTATTACTAGAAAACAAGTGGTCTCTCCATAATAATTGGGCATATTACACACAGATATAAACTAAAACCGATCTACTGATGGGGTTGTTCTTCTACTGCAAACATTTGTACACTGATCAAAATGCTAAAGGTGCCATGCATCTTTCTATTTCTAGTTAATTGATAATAAACATCGCTTAATTTGCAGGTTATGTCTAAGTTTTTCTGAATAAAGTCAGCACAAATTCTAACAACCCCTCAGAAAATTATCGTCAGAGGAACGAAACTCCCTCCTAGAGATTCGACCAACACTGCCGCTACTATATATATTTATAGTTCAGCTCATCTTCTGACCTCCTCCATAAAACAGCCCCTGTGACAAAGTAAGAAACTGGTTTAATAATACTCATGGCTGCAGAATTTACTACTTTATATTCTATTGCTTAGCACATATTAATAGTGAGGGGGAAAAAGACCCAATTATATTCAAATAGGTTTCCTCACTCGGTAAGTGAAGATGACCTCTCCCTATATCAACTTGGGTTCAGTTCTTCTAGGTAACGACCAATATGAAAACAAAGTTTCCAGTGCATCACTTTAGTATAATCAAGGAATTACGAATGACAAATCAAAACCACCTAGAGAATCATCAGGGATAAAGAAGATGCATGTTAGGTAGACATATAGGCATTACCAGATTGTCTTTGCTAGGCCTTTCCTCTTCAGCTACTCTCTGCAGAAACCCATCAGTACTGCAACTCTTCTTATCCTTCTTATTAGAACTACTCTTTCTTAAGCCCAGCCTCTCCTTCCATCTGCTTGAACTCTTCGGTACTCTTGGCAGTGCGTCGTCGTACAAGTCATCACTCACAAGAAGCTCATCTCTCAGAGTAGTCGTCATCTTCTTGGCCGTCATGGATTTGTTATTAGGCACCAACATGCCCTGGGAAAACACTTCATCTGCTGAGATCATGGCATAGTTCTTCACACAGAATTCGAAATCCGAAGACACAGGAGCTTCTCTGTAAATGCTTTCACGCTTCATATTGATGGCTTGCTGGGCATCCACAAAATCATTGGAGAAGGAGATTCTTGGATCCATAGCTGAATGGAGTTAGCTAGCTAGCTTGAAGCTGAGGATAATGCACTATACAGTGCAAGGGTTAGTAATATTGTTGCTTATAATTTAAACATGTTTAAGCATGGCATGGACAGTTTCATGTGAGGGTTAGGGCAACTTTTGCTTTTTGTGTTCCTTCAAGATGAAGGGTTGGATCTGAGATGAAGATGATTGGTCATTTATATATAATGTGGGGATGGATTCTCGTGTTTGTTCCCTTTAGTGGACATAACATGTTGCTCGGATTTGTCATTTTATGTTAGGAATGTGGGTCTTGTTCACTTTAGCTCTTTTGGGTTATGTGGCAAAAACAATTATTGACCCATCGCAAGAAATATGTTAAAAAAATTTAGGGGTAATACAAATAATAAGGACATGTTTAATTTTGCCGGTGAGTTTGACTATTGAGACTAGATGGTGGCCTTATTTTAATCCAAAGCTTCCATTTATTTTGTAGCCAAATGTTTGAGTTAATTAAGCACTGAATAGATTAATCTCTTAAGAAATGAGCTGTACATGTAAATTAAACTTGTTCTTGATATACAAATTCCACAAGTTTTTAGTATTCAAACATCTTACAAAGTTTCCGGTCCTCAAAATTTTTTTTGCATAAGAAGCTTTCACCGACTTGGATAATAACATTTCCAATCAAAAAAGATACTTTGAGCCAGCTCAACAAACAGATGGAGAACTTGGAAAAAGGGGTAAAGAATTTAAAAGTATTGAAGGGAAAAGAAGTGGACTTCATTTTTCTAAAAGAACATGGAGTTTAATTTTTATATGGGGATTTGATATTCCACTTTGAAGAAGTAGAAAAAGATACAGTTGTAAGCACAAGGATGGAAAATGTATATATACGTACAAAGCATGCAACTTTAACTACATTATTATACTCATTAATTAATAATAATGCAGTTGTCTAAAGAATCTTTTTCTCTGTTGAAACTATATTGACCATCACGTGTCTCCTTTTCATGTGTCTTTCACATGCCGTTCATATCCTCCAAAAACTTTCTAACTCGATCTAAGTCTATGACAAAATCAAATAAACTAAGTTAATCCTATTTAAGTCTTTAAACTTATTAAATTACTTATGCAAACTATTCATTTTTCAAATTAGGGTTGAATATATATACTAATTAAACAATCATTACTTCATCTTCAATCATACGCTTAATCACTTTTAGACTTGGTTCTTTTTCCATAACAAAAATATGTAGTATTAATTATATGTAATATACTCTAACATAAAAATAAATAAAAGATACATATATTTACCCTAGACATAATAATACTCTTTTCATTAATATATAATTACGCCAACATAGATAGCTCAATTTGTTTTCTAAATGTGTATGTAATATAAGTCAATAATTAAAAAAAAAACCTTTTGTTTAATGTTACATGTGATATAATAATTAAGTTAGGCAACACGTCAAGACAATTTGATTTAACTGATACTAATTATTATCTCTATTTCTTAATATAAGATTTAGTTTGAATTAAAAATAAAATCTTATATTAACAATCAAAGGTAATACTTTCTTAAATCTTATTTCAATATATATAATATTGCATATTTGACCCTTCATAGATATGATGAGTGCATGATTTGTTTTAAAAAAAGGTTAGGAAACACATATTTTGAGTTTTGCATTGTAAGCACATATATAATGGAGATCAAAGAGGTCAGGAAATGGTCAAATCCTAGATGGAAGTGGTTGCATGTTAAGATAAAGTTTAAGGAAAAACAAAACGCCCTCATAGGTTGCACGACAGAAGGTTAGGACTGAGAGCTTGTCTCCCTCTTGGTCTCCTCTTGACCTGGCAAAGCTTGTCTCTTTGGAATCCATTTGCTTTTAACTACTATGATTATTATCATAGTTAAGCATTCTCAAAGCTCGAGGCTCATTTTACTATGTCAGATCAAGAAAACCCTTATTTTATTTGTTGGGTTCTCTGAATCTTGCCTTGATAACAACCTGTTATTCATAATTCACCGCTCACAAATTAAGTCCTCAGAGGGAATATGGTTTATACAATGTGCTTATCAGCTTCATTACTTCATTTAACTTCATGTTTAGTGTTCACAAAATGATTTATATATGTTCCACAGATATAAATTTGGTATGCCTTTTCCTATTTTATCCCTAGTATTTTGACTCTAAAACATTGATGAAATTAAGAAACTTGTGCAGCTAGTTGAAATTAAGAAGTTTGTAATGATGCGACAGAAAACAGATCAATCAAGTAAATGAGTTATAAGATACTAAACTTGCCTACATATGATCAGAAACTAAGTTAATTGAACGCTTACATTTCAGGCTCAACAAGCCACCACTTCAATTTGTTACCTTCTTCCGAATTGTCCGACTTTGCTTAATATTTGTACTCAAAAATGTGATTGAAGCGCCTAACACAAGTGATGGTGACTTAATAATGAAAGCCAGATTTAGATAAGAAATTATTCCCACTTCCTCGAGACATTCGAAACCTATAGATCTGGAAAAAAAATATACAAAAGCAAAAAGATATAAGAAAGATGTCAACCGTACTTTATAGCTAGAGTCTACACAGCTAAGCCATTTCTGAATGACTATGGCATGGCAACCTACGAAAGCAACAAGAGTTTCACATTCATAGGCATACCAGCTTTAAAGGTCACTGCAGATTGCCATGTAACATCACATAATTGGATCCATCTTCATTAAATATTAACTTTGCTAGCTGTTCTCGATTCTAATGAACAATTTCATCGAAATAAACTATAAAATTCACAGCAAATCGAATTGTTTGTTTAGGTGAACAGTGCAATTTATTCTGCGGATCCGGTAAATCTAGGGATTATTTATCACAAAACGATCAGCTAACAAGGGTTCAATTATTATTCGAGGCCAGGTAGAAACAAGCTCGTAGTATATTGGGTTCAAAACAAAAGGAAAATAGAATAATAATACTGATATATACTGTGGGTGGCTCCCTAATAGCTAAAAGATAAAACTTGCTTGCTAATGACAATGATAGCTTGCTAGCAACAAAGTATTCCTCAAAAATATATCACTAATTTAGGACAAGTTACAGCACACGAGACTTGGACTGAGATACGTCATATAAACATAAGTGGGTTGCTGTTTCGTTTATCAGTAGAAATTTCCAGAAGATAGAGTGAAGAATTATTCAAGGAGGAAGTACTTCTGACGTAAGGGTACATAGAATTATAAAATTTATTTCCATCTGTAAAAACTAGACGCTGTAATTTTGTTGAGAAATCAACGTAACATGATGATATTACATATGTCCCCAGTGTATTTCTGTATTTCTGTTAGTTTATTTTATACTGTTTGTGTTCTCATTTCTCATAAACTGCGGGTTCTGCCTGAATAGTACTACCTCCAATCTTTAATATAGGATCTCATTTGACTTTTATTTTAATTTTAAATATAAGACCCAATCCATTTTGTTTCTCATATTTATTCATTTTTTTCAAAATAGTTCTTTTAATAATGATAGTTCTAACTAATACATTTTATTAGTAAGGATATTTAGAAAATACAACACTTATGTAGAACAAATGACTAACTTAACTTATTTCCTTAATTTACTTAAATTAGTCAACTAGCTTTTATATTTAGGACTGTAGGTAATAATAACCAGGATTAGTTTTCCTCCAATTTTTTTCCTTCCGGGTTTTCCAATGATTTGCTTGTATAGAGACTAATGATTATCTATAATAGGAATAGGGCTTAGTTTTGGTTAATAATAAAGACCGCATGTCTGAAACTGAAGAAGTATGGTTGGTGGCAAGATATGACAGTTCAGTTTATAGAACAAATTGTGCCACCACCACTTCCTTGTGAATTCAAGCAACATGATCTAACTAATCTTGCATTGACCCATATTAATTAACAAGAAGGTTGCTGTCAAGCCAATACAAAAAGAAATGCATTCTAGTTGACATAAAATTGACTGATCTCCTTATAGCATTAGTAAATGATTTCTCATCTTCCACCTTGCATTTAAAAAATCCATTAATTATAGAGTATCATCTTTGAATGTTGAATGCCCATCCCCGAACTCAATGACCAAGTCAACCAGATCATGATTGAAAATGAGGATTGCTTCCTCTTCCTACCATCTTGCAGCAGAAGATTGTTCTAGGAAATTGCAGAGCCAAGAAGGAAACACGGTGATGTAATTCCCTACTTCTTTCTATGAAATTGTTCATTTATTAGATTAATCTTACTTGTTATTGAACTAGCCTGATTCTATTTATATGCTGCAATATTGATTTCTGATTATCTGCTAAATTCTCAGAAGCTTATGTATCCTACAATAGATGAACCTGAGATATATCCAGAGTATAGCCGTCCAGGTTATGTCCTTCCAAATTATGGGACTCCACGCGTTTCTTCTGCTCCTCCCACCATCATGAGGCATTCTGTTCCAACGCCTCAGTGGTCAAGTGATCTTTTCCATTGTGTTGATGATCCTTCACTTTGTAAGAAACCCAGAAATTTTCCATATATATATATATATATATATAGATATTCAACTTTTTCTATACACAATTCACATGTTTACTTTGCTTCTTGAAGGTTTAGTCACTTGCCTCTGCCCTTGTTTTACTTTTGGGCGCATCGCAGAGATTGTAGATAAAGGCAATCCAAGTAAGCAACGGCAAAATCACGATCTATAGCATGAAATGTGCCATTCACTATGAAACAAACTCGTAGCGTGAAAATTTTCATCACTTGAGCAATAGATTAATTATTTCCATTAAAAATTATATGCTATATATCAATGGCACTAATTAAAATCATTAGGGAGCAAGCTGAATATCTAGACTAAATCATAAGTAGTAGTTTGAAGTGGCTTGTGTAGGTAATATTCTTTAAATTATGTGCAGCATGTGGTTCAAGCGGCCTTTGTTATGGGTTATTAGCTCCCACTGGACTCGCATGCCTGTATTCTTGCAATTATCGCTCAAGAATGAGGGCACAATATGACTTACCAGAAGCTCCATGTATGGATTGCTTTGTTCATTTCTGCTGTGAGGCTTGCGCTCTGTGCCAGGAGTACAGACAGCTGAAGCATTATGGATTTGACCTCAGCTTAGGTAATTAACATAAGATGACCCATTGACAATCAAAGTGCTTGTTGTTCTTATTATTTAATGTTGTTTTTTTGAGAAAAAAAATGGTGAATATGAGAATGATTTGCTGTTGGACAATGGATTGAAGTATAGGATGGGAAGCCAACATGGAAAGGTCAAGAAGGTTTGGGGTTACGGTAGCCCCAGCTATACCAACTGGCATGACGAGATGAAAGTGAAGGATTCAATTGGGAGGTTTATTTTTCCCTGCTAGCATGGGACCTCTTGATGCTGGTTCAAACCCTGTGTGAATTCTGCGTGCGCTGTGCTGTTAGGTTTGAGTGCTTTTTGTCAATATTAAGCAAAATAAAATGTGCTCTTGTACATCCAAAAAAGGGAAAAAGAAAAATCTAGTTTGTTTCTTTTGCCTTGTCAGCCCTCCATTTTCTTTCTTTATTTCTTTCTCTTTGGAGTTACAAACTTTTGGTGAGAGGGCTAAAGTAACAAACGAGAAGCTTCCTCGGATGAAAATATGGTATGAGAATTATTTGTAAAATTTTAATATCTTTTATCCTGTAGCATTGTAAATAGATGCGTTGGCTTGACAATGTCGAGACTCGCCTGCTTGATCATTGCTTCTTTCAATTCTAAGAAAATGAGAAAAGTGCAAAAGTGGCCAAGTTTTAAGAGTTTGCTAGTCTCTTTTTCCTTTTTTACCCCCCAAAAAAAAGGCAATTTACAAGTTGACTGGGAATACCTCTCATCCTTAAATTTTCTGTTATACCCCAATTCCATAATTTAGAAGAATCTCCAGTATTTGGTTTATAAGGAACATGTAAACCAAGCCTGTGAAGAGCGCATAAATGTGTTGTGTGCATAATAAGACCCTGTTACAACATATTAGTGCTTTTATATTTGGCATCAAGAGTAAGAAAGTGAATTGAGAGTCGCTCAATGAATCTAATTCACTCTTATCTTGTGTTATGTTTCTTTCCCAATTCAACTGATGCATTTAAAATGGGCAATGGCCAGTAATTCAGCTACGTGTCAAGGACTGAGTCATCATTACAAGAAACTCGTCCATGTCAACCATGCCATCTCCATCAGTATCCACAGCACTCACCATTCTGGTGCAATCATCAAGGCTGCATCTTTCCCCCAGCCTCCTCAGCATATCCTGAACTTCCTCTGCGCTAATCTTCCCATCACCATTCTTATCAAATACCCTGAATGCACTTTCTATGTCCACTCTTCTAATCCCACCACCCATTTTCAGAGCTTCCACAAATTCCTTGAAACTGATAAAACCATCTAAATCCTGATCGACCACCCGGAAAATATCAGAAACTTCACGAGCCATATTTCCCCCCATGGCTAGAGATTTCAGGGTGGCCTTATACTCCTGCTGAGAAATTTTCCCATCTTTGTTGGAATCAAACTTGTCAAATACCTGCTTCATGTCATCTATGCTTGGCTCAAAAATCTGTTTCAATCCAGAATTGAGCCTTTTTGGGGAGGAAAAGAGACGAGATGGTGTGCGCAGGTACTTTCTCTTTGAAAGACTGTATTGGAAATCAAGGAATCTAGCACTTGACATTTTTTCCCCACAATGGTGGATTGGTCTTATCTGTTGAATGGAAGAAGAAGAACGGAGTCTTTATATTAGAGGTGGAAAGTGGAAGTGGTGAGTTCCCATTCTTCTTCCACTAGACATCATGCAAATCTTAGTTTATCAGTTATTCCTCGACAAATTGATCCTAGAAGGAAAGGCAGGATAGGAAAAGAATAAATTCTTTCCAAAGGCTACAAGTATGTTCCTATATTTCCTGTGAAGGGGTTTTTCTTTTCCAGTCTACAATTGTAAAAAGTTGATTTACATGAATAAGCTATTATTATTTCAGTAACCAAAGAATACACAGCTCATCAAGTAGGTTACAGTATAACTTCCGGAAGTAAGGAAAGGAAAAACCTAGAAGAAAACTGGAAATTATCTTGTCACGACGGCTTTCCATTATCCAAGTCCTCCATTACGTCAATGTCCTTTCGAGCTGTTATCTTCTGCACGTATCCTGCCAAAACAAACATTCTGCTAGTGAGTGCAAGTTCACATTCTAAAACCCACAAGTTAATTAGTAACACTAATGGCATTTTAAGCAGTTGACTCAAGATGAAGGCCACCAGGGCGTCATGTAATTCCCAAGGAAGTCACAGTTGGGAAGGGAAAAGGTCCCTTGCACGCACTCCGACACAGTTTCAAGAATAAATTTAAAATAACCAAAATATATATAATATGCACAGTGAACAAAATGGTAAAGTAAAAGAGACGCTGAAACAAAATCTAGGCAAAATTTAAATTAATATCCCATATAACATAAGATTAGCATGCGACTTCCAAACAGGAAAAAAGAAACTTACATAGGTGTTCACGCTGTAAAATCCAGAATTATCTCACATAGAAAGCATTTATGTCCTTCTAGCGCATTCAAAGATACCAGGGACTAATGAATAATTTATAAAAGGTAGCTAGGACTCAAGCTATCAAGGCAGCAGCTAACAAGAGAAAATTGGGATCTTCTTAGTTCTTACAAGTATGTTTTGGATTCAAATCAACAGAACTCTTATTTACCTTCTAGTTTTGTTGAGGTGCAGTAAGGCCAAAGAAAAAACATAGACTGCAAAGTTAGAAATCCCATCTCATGTATAAGTTAGACGCTGATATGAATCATATCTGCATGGGATTCGAAGTGTACCATAATAGTAACTTTAACTGAGTTGACTGACTGACAAAACAAGATTGCATTGTCAAGGAAGAAAAAAATTCTATTCCGAAATCGCAACTGGATCAATCCGTAGTTTAGTGGAGAACATGTTATATGGGACTGAAATATCAATGAGGATTTCCTAGATTTTCCTTTACAAGGAAGGAAAATCAACTGGAAAGTGAATAACTAAAAAACCCTGTCATTTCATTTCATTAAATCAGGCAGAGCAGTTCAACATATCTCTCGTGTAATTAGCTTTAAAAGAAATCAGACTCCAAATCCATATTATGGAAAGATGGCTTTCCCGTACCACAAATTGCATAGCATGGACAGGGAAAGGCTAAAAGCATGAAACAATGCAATAGATCACAGACACACAATCAAGGTGCATTCAATGCAAAAGCTTTAAGTACCAGGAAAGTATTCATTCAATGCTACAGATATATCGTGCATAACATAGCTAACAGGTGAGCTATGACAACGATCCTTTAAAAAAAAAAAAGGTCAAACTAAAACAATGACAACAATCCTTTTTTTTTTTCCCTGATGCATATTGCAATACTAAAGATTAGTTGCTTATCGAGCCATGGGGAAAAAAATCCAAGATACTTACAGCTAAAATTATTTAGGATTTCTTAGGATCGTTGTAATTTAATTAGCCATCTGTATTTAAAGAATGATGCCCTCGAGCATACCTAGATGTGGACATGGCACAAAGTAAAACATAACATATCTCACAAATTACAACAGATGATTATCTATTTTTGTACACATCACATGCATGCACAAGCTTCAGACAAACACGACATTGAAAATAGGCATCCAAGAGTTTGGGTGCATGGTATTGGGCTCTGACAATGGGGAGAAAATTAGACAATAAAAAATGAAAAGAATTGAGTTTATAGCATCACAATTGATGCATCGAACCCAAAATACTTATGAACTGCTACATGTAAAAACTTCGCAGCCGAAACTGTTGCTGCCTTAGAAGCCAAGAGTGCACGAAAACAAGTAACAAAAGTATCACAAGGAGATAAAGATTTTCCATCGCTAGCTTCATAGAAACATGCTCTCAGAATGATCAGCTTTGAACAGAATAGACAGGAGGAAAGACCAAAATAACACATCATGAAAGCACAGAGCAAAACTGAATTCTCTAAATAAATTGGTGTTGTGATGTAACTCATTTAGCATAAAGGACTAACATATTTGTGCAGCAATGACCTTTTTACATGAGAATGTCGAACAATGGCGCTCAATATTTGTTCATTTAAAACATATATTGTCAACATCATTACTAACAGCCCTCTCTCTCTAATATATAGACCCGCTGTTTTTCAGTTCAGTTCATTTCAGTCTAGAATTAGAAAAACAAGAGAGCAAATTACATGGGTCTAAAAAGGAAGAGCAAACACCTAAAAAAAAACATGAAGGATGAGCATGCCAATATTGAAGGGAGCAGTACCAATTCCCATGCAAGGAATGCATTTGCAGGATGTCGATTTGCCCCTTTTGTTATAGTAGGTTACGTATCCCGACCCATGGCAGCTACGGCACATGCCAGTCCATTCATAGACCACTTCTTTACAGTCCTACACAGGAGAAAAAAAAGTGAACCTCTTTAATTTCGCTACAATGAGGGGAGAAAAGCAGGAAGACATAGGGAGATTTAAATCGAAGCCAAGAACCCTCGACCTCCCACGGCTCAAAAAAAAAAATCTTCAAATTCTGGAACACAAACAGTAATCAAATACGTAGGTCGATAGGAGGAAAGAAGGCAAGCGAAATTAACCTCCACTTGGGGATCGCATCTAAGCCGCTTATCAATCTCGTCAGCAGAAACCGGCGAGGAATCCGGGTACGTCATAGGAAGTGGAAGAGCGTCATTATCATCCGCCAAGTAGCTATCTGTGTTACGCGACCATTTCCTCTCCTTCGCATTCACTCTAACGCCATCATTTCCGCCTGCGCGTCTCCCCGCAACGCCACCATCCACAACGGGTCCTTTATCGATATCTTCGCCAATTCTAACACCACCGGCGACGCCAGCAGCTGAAGCCAAGGATTGGAACCACGAGGAAACGATGGTCCGGGCAAAGCATCTCCAGCGGCGGCACGGCAGCGGAAGGCCGACGGTGAGACGCGATAAGATAGTGAAGGCTTAGAGGGATAGAACAGGGAGGCTGTATTGACGGAGAACATTACCAGAAAGTTAGCCCACGTTAAATATGTGTTTAGGAAATGGGAATTCAGAGGGAAGATTGAGAATTGAGAGGTATAATTGGATGAGGAAGGTACGGATGATTTATATAGATTATGCTCTTGCCCAGCTACTCAACAGCACGCTGGAAAGTGGAAAGCTTCAGCACTTAGCATTGGCCGGTGAAGCCCCTTCTGACCTTCTCTATCCAATAGAGCCGTGCCGTTCACATTGTGGTTAAATTATAACTTTTCTCTGCTTTAATTTTTTTTTAAAAAATTAATCCGAGGATATAGTCAAATCATGTATGGATTAGAAAAATTGCGTCATCAATCTCAAATAACCTCCTTCACTGTTTTTAAAAGTAGTAGATTAGTTTGTAATGTAATACAATTGAAAGTTTAGTTTAGACGCATTTCTAGCAAAGCAATCTGTATGATTATTACTCCCCCTTTGACAATTTTTGGAGTGCCTAGGTACATCAAGGTATGGGATATTTTTATTTTGAGAAAAAATAAGGCTTGATTAATGAACTACTTCTAGAATTGTTCTTGATTATTTTACTCCTCAAGAGATTTTTCTTTCTCTCTCATTTTAACCTTGTTAAAAGATATTTTTTTAAAAATTTATATGTATTTTTAGAAAAATTAATAAACTTTCAAATTGCATCTAACAAACTTGGGTCCTATTTAGTATGATGATTAAAATCACTTATAAACATGTTTCACGTAAGTCGAAACAAAATTTTTTTCACATATTTACTTCATATTTAGTAAAACATGATTGAAAAACTACTTATAAACCATTCTAAACGTCTTAGTTGGTAGGCAAAATTTTGTCAAAAAAATGTCCTATGGTATGAAATGGGGCGAGCAGTGATTTTATAAGCACGCTCAAATTCAATATGCGTGTTGGAGCAATAGCTGCAATTACAAGGTACAACCATAGCTATCATCCTATCAAAACATCGTCGATGATTCGACTAGAGATTTTTATACAGGAATTGTCATGCTCATGCATGTCACTTTCAATTTTTTGTCTAGAGATTTCTCTCTCTTTTTTTCTTTTTTGGTTGCATGTCTAGAGATTTTTCGTCCAGGATAGCCCGTGATCAATCTCCCTTCTCATTTCCTTTGGCAGCGCACCTGATAATAGAGACGAAGTGGGCACTTGTTTTGGGCCTGACAAAGGTAGGTACTTTTTTCTTGGGTCTAAGTGAAGGTGGGTACTAAAAGTTGGTCTTCTCGGGATAATTTTTTAATGAAACAAGATGATTCATTTACATTTTCAAAAAAAAATACTATACCAATCCAAAGCTAAAAATATGATTTTTAACGTCCTTCGTCAATAAATAACTCGGTTCATGAAGAATGCTTTTGGAGACCTGAACTGAAGAGGGGGGAAAAAATAAATAAATAACTCCAGGAAACGGTATCTAGGGAGACTCGTCTGTTTCACGAATGGCTGTGGCTTCAATACTTGCTGGCAGATTATAAGAAAGGGAGCTCAGCTAGCAGAAAAATATTGAAGAGCATTACACTATATAGATCAAGTGCTGCAATTTTCCCTCCCAACAATTCTTTCTGTCTGATCTATTTGGAATCATAAGGTTATCATCACTAAGGAGTTTCTTATCCTCTCTATAACAAAAGTGCTGCTATTAATTAGAATCTGCTTTCTGCATTCATTGCAAACTGCAAAATCATAGTGTCTTCAGGGCATTTCTTTTGATTTGCGTTCGTGACAACAACATGAAAGCAGAAACTTACAGTAGTTTTTATTTGCTTACTTCTTAGCCATCGTAATCAGGAAAAATGATGTAGTGCTTACTTATATTTTGATAACTAGCTCTCTGCTTTTAGAATCCTCAAGGAGTTTTGCTATCAAGTTTGTTAGCTTGGAGAAATATTTCTGGTAAACCAAAACCACATAGTTTATATGATTAGCGAAAAGTACAACATGAAAGAAAGAATAGCAACAGAATGTTTAACTTTTGTCCTGAAAAATCTTACATCTGGTGCAGTTTGGGAGCTGCCCTACTGATGGAGGAACTGATCCTTCAAAGTTGTTGTTTTCCCAGTGTCTTGCATGGTGGAAAGTGATCAAAGGAAATGGGTGAAAAAGACAGGAGGGCAATAAAGACAGTTTAAGAAATCTCAGAAACTATTGAAGATGAAGCATCTTTTTGTTCACATACAAAATCAGTAGTTTCTTCATCCCACTTAAGTCAGGAATAGTGTCTGAGAAGTTGTTTCGAGGCGGTTTGGTTCAACTCTATTGCAGGCCTACAATGCTAATCAAGATTACATAACCAGAAGAAAATGTGTTTGGTTGTTTTTTTAGTTTGGTAATGGGATTTACTGTGGTAATGATTGTTACCAGAAATAAGGTAATACCTACTCATACCTCCCCTTATGAATTCCGATTACCACTCATTGCGTGTTTTAAAAGGTCTTATTTACCCTTCAGTCACATTTGTGTTTGTTCTCACCATCTTTTCCCTTCCTCAGTTCCTCCTCCTCCATCATGGACCATTACCCCCACGGCACCACCACCCCCACCGACCAAGAACTTTTCTTTTTTTCTGCCTCCCTTCATTATCATTGTCTCCTTCTCCTTTGCCCTCCTTGTTCCATTGGCATCGTCATGTCCATCCTTTGCCATCAATATTCGAAGTTGTGAATCTCCTTTTCAAATCAGTTTTAATTTTTATGAATATCCTTCTCTGAATCTATTTTCCGCAGAAGTTCATATTAGTGTTCGCGGTGACAAGCTCCAGATTTCCGCATTTATGTGGTTGAGGTCTATATGGAAGATTACTTTTTCCCCTATACGCAATTTGAACCCACATTTAAAACTTGATTTATGGATTACTTCCCTTTCAATTCGTTACTGCATGTCGGCTGATTCTTGTCTGCATTTTCTACTGAGACTCTGAGAGTGGTGTTTTGGCTGAGGATTTGAGGAAGAAGACAAGTGGGGATGGAGAGCTTTTTTTTGTTTGAGGGGCGTTTTAGACCTCTCATAATTTTGATTAAGTATAAAAAATAGTTTCTGCACATTTTGTTAATAACAAACCAAATATATTGATTGATGTTAACTATTATTGCAGTGCACTCCATTGCATTACTAAGGGAGTCTCCAATCGAACCAAACAATTGTAGAAATTATAATGTCATCTCCATAAATATCTAATTATTGTGAGTTTAGTACGGAGAAACTTAATCAATACTAAGTGGATAATTTTATGATTATTTCAAGAAATCGGTTGAATTTTTAACATTAAAAGATAAGTTTATAATTATTATTCTAACGTAAAAATAAAAATGAAGGGCTAAGGATTTTGCTGTAAAAAATGGATATCTAACAGAGAGGAAGTTTCCCTGGAGAAGTACCACATAAATATATCATAAGCCATTTTTAGCCACACACCTGACCCAAAAAGGAAGAGAAGCCCAACCCAATATCGAGAAAGAGGGTTCGCTGTCAGTTCGACAAGAACGACGCAATTCAGGTTTCCAGCTGACCCATGGCATTGAGAATCCACGAAGCTTTGATTTAGCCCACAGAATTGAAGAGGGAACGGTGAGGACCAGCCTTCGCTGAAGGGAAAGTGGGAAACAGAAACACAAGTCAAAGTCAAAGCGAATACCCTTTCATTATGGTGAAGAGTCGGAGAGCAATTAATGTTCATTCTTTTTAGATTCATTCATTGCGCGCACGACAACAAATGATATAAAATGCCGCCTTCGTCCTTTATATAAGTCAATTATAAGGGATACTTTTGTTCTTAAATACTCCTATGATTTTATTTATAAAACACTTATAATATATTTGATATATTTGATATAGATTAAGAAAAATTTTTAATTTTATTAATTCTTATTTAAAATTTGATAACTTTTTAACTTTATCCCTATTCAATATATATTATACCCTATTAGAACAAAGTCAACACAACATTAAATAAAAGATAAAATTGTACAGTCATATAAAAAAAAAAATTTCTTTATCCTATAAATAGAATTAGAGAAGTATATGCTTCCTCCGATTCTTATTATAAGTTTTAAATAACTAATTCATAAAAAATAAATGATTGATTAAAATAATAAATAGGTTAGAAAAAAACTTTTATTTTCAAATATGCCTTTTTAACAAATGAGAAAAAGAATGAAAGAGAATATGAGGAAAATGTGATAAAAGATAAATAATTAAGGGCAATATTAAAAAAAACATTAAATGTTAAAACAAACTCAAATTAAAGCTTATAAATAGGACCAGAGGAAGTACAAGTCACTTTTAAATTTTAATACATCTAACGTTTTTTTATTTTATCTTTATTATTAGAAAAATAAAAGAGAGATATGAGAATTATTAGTAAATGTTCAAAGAGAGAAAAGCTTTAATAAAGAGTAAAATTGAAAACTTTTGTTAATTTAATGTATTTTTTGGTATATGAAAATGTGTTACAAATGACTTGTATTAAAGACTATAATAGCATATACGAAGCCTGCGGGTAAACAATTTTAATTATTTTATTTAAATTTTTTGCCAACGCTTTTTTTTCCCTTTAAATAGTGTATTGTTGCATAAATGATTAGACGTCTTCTGATACATTGAATATCGTCCCCAAAAAAAAAAGTGCCAAGTATATGATGAAGGGTGTGTTTAGATTAATTTAGATGCCTTCGATCTGATACGTTGAGTATAGAAATCTGTATGTTTGGTTCTTCGTTTTTCCCCATTCCATCTCAATTTTTAATAAAAGAAATTGGGAAAATGACCCCTTATTAAAAAATTCACCACTGAGAAGATCTAAATCAAACTATATACTAATATTCTTGTGATAAAATTTGTAAAATATCAGTGCTTTTTGTATATAAAAATTTATCAAGTGCTTCTTATAAAACAAATTTAGTAGATAGAGGTTTTTTTCCCTCCTAATATTTTCTTTTCTTTTTGTGCCCCAACCAAGGCATTATTATGCTTTCACAGAAGAATCATCTGTCACAACGAAGCTTATCTCACCTAGACAAGATTAGCTGCACAAACCATATGTTGTCATTTTATTCTATTAATAACTAAATTTTTAAATAAGTTGTTAATCAAAAAATCTTATTCAATCAATTTTTTGAGTTCTCTTCAATTTTCATCTAACTATTTTTAGAAGACTCT